CTGGCACAGTGGCTCAACTGGCTAATCCTCCATCTAGCCCTGGCTGCTCCACTTCCAACCCAGCTCCCTCCTTGTGGCCTGGGAAAGCAGAGGATGACACAAGCCCTTGAGACCCTGCACCCATGTAAGAGACCCAGAAGAGCTCCTGGCTCCCAGTTTCAGATCAGATCAGCTCTGGTTGTTGTGGTCATTTGGGAAGTGAATCAGCAGATGGAAGATTTCTATCTCTCTGTCTCTCTTTTTCTCTACAAATCTGCCTTTAAATTAAAATGAGTCAATCTTTTAGACAATTTTAACTTAAAAAAAATACCAGTTAATGAACCAGCACTGTAGTGTAACAGGAAAAGCTGCCACCTGTGGCACCTGCATCACATATCGGTGCCAAAATAATTCCCAGTTGATCCATTTCCTAGCCAGTTCCTCGCTAACGTACTGGTGCAGCATCAGCGGATGATCCACGCGCTTGGGCCTTTGTACTCACAAGGGAGATCCAGAGGAAGTTCCTGACTCCTAGTTTTGGACTGGCCCCAAATGTCATTGTGGTCATTTGGCGAGTGAACCAGTGGATACAAGATTTTGTTCTCTCTGTCTCTTTCTCTAATTCTTTCAAATAAATAAATCTTTTTTAAAAACCACTCAGAATAGCATAACAATACAAGACAGTCAATGAAGGTGTATACTATCTACACAAACAATCTTGCTCTATACATAAACTTTGAGAAAAGTAATAAGTTAATTAAGTGGGAGACTATAATCTATGAATTGATCAATAAATGTATTTTTATAGATTCATTGAATTTTATAGATTCAATGAAATGTAAATAAAATATTTTCAATTTACTCCATATCCTCTACCGGTACCAATTAAAATCACAGCCAGATTTTTTTTTAACTGACAGGTTTAGTAAAAGATTTATGCAATCACAAGTACAGTATAGCTAAATTAATTTGGGAGCAGATCCACAAAGCCAGGAAACTTAGGAAAATGCCTATTAACACACACTAAAAGCAACTACATTCAACATAGAATAGATTGGCACTAGCACTGACACACAGACTTAGGAAGCGAAGCAGGGAGTCCAGAAATAGAGCAAAAGTACACAGAACTTGGTTTATAACCAGGATGGCGCAGCAGAGTACATAGTATAAAAAAAAGATCTTTTTACTAAACAGAGCTGTGTCTATGGAAAACCCAACTAGATTTATAAATGCAAAAAATAATACTGACTCTTTTAAAAAGATTTATTTATTTATTTGAAAGTCAGAGAGAGGGAGACAGAGCTGCTTCTGCTAGTTCACTGCCCAAATGGTCATAAAGGTCAAAGCTGAGCCAGGCTGAAGGCAGGAGCCAAGAGTTTCTTCCGGGTCTCCCACATGGGTGCAAGGACTTGGACCAGTTTCTGCTGCTTTTCCAAATGAACTGGTGCCCACATGGGATGCCCATACCACAGGTGGAAAGTTAAACCCACTTTGCCGCAACGCTGGTGCCAATCTTGGCTCTTACATTATAACATGCTCAGAAAGCAATTTCAGGTGATTTAAGATCTAAATATGAAAGTTTCAAAATGATAGCTTTTGAAACTACAGCAAGCACTAACCAGATATCAGTATTTACATTCAAGCTTTAATTAAAATTACTAATATTAAGATTTCAGTACCTCCATCTCACTAGTCATATTTCAAGTGCTCCATAGCCACATGGCTTATTTATTCAGGTATAGAATCTTCCCAAAAAGTGAGACGGTTCTATTGGACATCAAATTTCTAGGAGATAACATAGAACTATATCTTCATGACCCTAAAGTAGGTCACACTTTCATTAAGAAGATATAAACAGGGCCCAGCACAGTAGCGTAGTGGCTAACGTCCTTGCCTTGAGAGTGCCAGGATCCCATATGAGCTCCAGTTCTAATTCTGATAGCCCCACTTCCCATCCAGCTCCCTGCTTGTGGCCTGGGAAAGCAGTCAAGGATGGCTCAAAGTCTTGGGATCCTGCACCCGCATGGGAGACCTGGAGGAAGCTCCTGGCTTCTGGCTCCTGGCTTCGGATCGGCTTAGCCCCAGCCATTGTGGCCACTTGGGGAGTGAAGTGTCAGACATAAGATCTTCCTCTCTGCATATGACTTTGCAATAAAAAAAAAACAAATAAATCTTTTTTCAAAAGATATAAAGAATAGTAATAAAAAGAAATGCTAACAAATTGAATCTCATTAAAAAAAATTTTTAAGATTTATCTTATTTTCATTACAAAGTCAGATATACAGAGAGGAGGAGAGATAGAGAGGAAGATCTTCCGTCTGATGATTCACTCCCCAAGTAACCGCAATGGCTGGTGCTGCACTGATCTGAAGCCAGAAGCCAGGAGCTTCTTTCTGGGTCTCCCACACAGGTGCAGTGTCCCAAGGTCTTGGGCCGTCCTCGACTGGTTAACAAAGTAAGGGTAGCTATCTTGCCCAGCAGTTAAGCCACCACTCAAGACACCCAAGTTCCACACTGTAGTATCTGAGTTAGAATCCTGACTCCGCTTCTGAGTCCAGCTTCCAGCAGGTGAGGGATTATGTAGTTGTATCCCTGACACTCATGTAGCAGACCCAGAGTGAGTTCTTGGCTCCTGGCTTTGGCCTGGTCCCGCCCCACCTGTTGTGGGTTTTTGGGAAGTGAACCAGCAGGTTTCTGTCTCTCTGCCATTCAAATAAATGAGAAGACATGAGGAATAAAAAAGAATGTGGTCTGTGGAGTGGGTGAGTGTCCATGAGGTCAAAATAATTTTCAGGATAACAAAATCTAAAGAAATCAGAAGCATCAAAATGTGAATAATTCTATTAACAATAAAAGCTGATTTGTAATTTAAGCCTTCCCACCATGTAAACTTTATCCCCCAGGGCTTCACCTACAAATTGCAGAAAGCTACCTTTCTTAGCAAAGGCATCCAGAGAACAGAAGGAAAGTGTTAGAGAGGGGGACAGAGATAATTACAGATGGATGGATGGAGAGAGGGAGAGACAGAGAGAAGAACGGAAGGAAGGAAAGAAGGAAGAGAAGGAGGGAAGGAGGGGGAAAGAAAGGAAGGAAATCTCTACTAGTTCATTGCCCAAATGGCCACAACAACGGAGGCTGAGCCAGACTGAGGTCAGGAATGTGAAATTCATTCAGGTCTCCCATGTGGGAACAGGGTCCCAAATACTTGAGACATCACCTGCTGCTTTCCCAGGTGCAGTAGAAGGGAACTGGATAGGAAATAGAGCAGTAGACAAAATTAGAACTGACACTCCAACTGGAATCACAGATGGAGGATGAACCTGCTGCAAGACAATGCAGGTCTCCATTGGCTGTTTTTATTTAGTATAAACATCATTTTGAGTCTATGCAAAACAGCCATATTCTTTGCCTAAAGATTCTAAAGAATAACCCTTATGTGCCTGAATTAGAAAGTATATTTCTGAGGACACATAATCAGAATTCCACTACAAAAATCAGAATATACATAGATTGCAACCAGATGGTTGTAGGCACAGCCAAGAATTTGGGATGGGAAAAAAAGTTTTTCTCTTTAACTGCTGCATGGAATATATGATTACATATTCATTCCTAGATTCCAAACCAAGTTCCAAATATATTTAATGACTTTCTGTTTGAAGAGGAATTCTTTTTTATTTGAAAGGCAGAATAACAGAAATAGCTCCCACATAGATAGCTGAGCCCAAACAATTGGGCATCATCTGCTGCCTCCCAGGGATATTAGCAGGAAGTTTGATGGGAGGCAGTGATAACACTTGATCCCAGACAGTCTGATATTAATCCTGCGCAGCAGCTTAATCCATTGCATTCACCACAACACTCATCAAGGAGGAACCTTTTCTTTCTTTCTTTCTTTCTTTCTTTCTTTCTTGCTTTCTTGCTTTCTTGCTTTCTTTCTAAAATACAGTATTAAAAAGGCATGCTATTTATTTATATCCTGAAATATTTTCTTATCCTATCAATTAAAAATGGGAACAAAATACATGGACACCTTTACCATTTAGCCTTTTTTTTTTTTTTTAAGAAAACTAACTTTTAAAATCAAATCCCTCACTTCCATTAGTACTTTAGCCAGTCAGAATTCTGGAGTGAGAACTGTAATACTCATTTGATGTTCTGCCAAATGTTGATGTTTCTGATATTCATATGACATGCATTTCGGCAATTGTAAAAACTTCTTAGTAAACCTTCATCCCAACTCAGCTAAGAGTATTTAGTCTCCAGAATAGTATCATTCCCCGTTAACTGCAAATATTGGAGACAGTGAAAATCAATGGGACGTTTACGTTATCAGACATGTTGTCAGTTCTTTCCCACACTTTCCTACAGGCATCATGACTTTCTTCTGTTCACTAAAATTATAATGTTCTTTTTCTTTCCCTTTACCAGTTTGAGGTTCTCTGTTATATAACAAACTCTGTAATACTGTCTACTTTTCTTGACTTGAGTATGTTTCAGATGTTATACAAGCTTCCTTAGTCACAACACTGTAATCAGTTTTTAGTTACCAACTTCAAAGTAAAAAATCAACATAAGGAAAAATTTCAATAACCTACAGGAGAATTTACTTACGGAATACATGTTTACAAACACAAAACATGCAGAATGCCAAAAATACTCTGTCACTCTGTTAACAGGTGACACTGCATAGGGGAAAATGCCCTATATCCTATATTCCATATAAAATCTGCAAAAGAATACATTACTATAATATTGGAAAGTTTAAACTGTAACTTTTATGTGAATTATTTAATAAGTTATATAGTAAGTATTGCATTCATTCTTGCTACTTTCTTGTACACTGTGTAAAACATCTTTCCAGTGATATCCATTGCAGATGGCAAGCCAGAATTTATCTCAGAGGTATAATTTTGTTTATAGTTGCTAAATATTAGCAGGGCTGCTAAGAAAGCATGTTCAATTCAATTGACTAAGCACTACCAAAAGTTCATTTAAGGAATTTTTCAGAACTTAGCTGGTGGTCATCTCCTGATACAAGGAGTTTTAAAAATCCCATAAAAGTTGCTTACCATGACATTGATACTTGCATGATCCCCCTTTCTATTCCGTATCTGAATACAGGGTATTGGCAATTTCAGTCCTAGACCTGTGGCCAAATTGCTCATGTCAGCAGCTGTGTATTTCCCACGCAGCAGTAAGCTTTCATTTCCACAGCCGAGCCCCAGAGAGGTGCGGTAGAGGTAAGTGTGAGAAAGTCTCTCAATTGTAGTGACATCTACCATAGCAGATGCCATGCAAGACGTCGGAGCCATCTTCCCTCCATACCTCAGATCAGCTGGCGAGCGACCACACCTCCAAGAGCAACAACCTGGGCTCTGACTCCACCTGACACACACGAAGGAAAGTACACACCCCAGAAACAAAAGGGAAATGCAGGCCAGCACGATGATTAGATACAAATTCAGGGCAGACAGCCTTCCTCCTGGTTCCCAGACATTCTCAAAGTCTGGAAGCACCGGAGGAACAGAGTCACTCAATAGCACCCCCAGGATGACAGAGGACGACAGCGGTGGGTCTCCATGGTCCTGAACCACCACCACCACTCTCTGCTGAACCGCATCGGTGGGAAGCACCAGGCGCGCAGTGCACAGTTCTCCAGCGTGGGCTGAAATTCTGAAAAGACTTGAGTCAGAAGCCTGGGAGATATGGTAGGAAAGCCAGGCATTGAAACCACTGTCTGCGTCCTCGGCCACCACTTTGGTGACCAGGTGTCCGACTCTGGCGGAGCGGGACACAACTTCCACTGGGATTGAGCCATCTCTGGGCGAGGGAAACAAGATAACGGGAGCATTGTCGTTCCTGTCGACCACGAATATGCGGACAGTCGCGGTGGCACTTCGCTGGGGAATGCCACCATCCCGGCCCTCAACGTGGAATTGAAACCCCCTGAGCTGCTCGAAGTCAAAAGATGTTTTGGCAGTGATCATCCCACTGGATGACCCCACTGCCACCAGACTAGAGGCCGCTGTCCCTTCAAAGACAAAATCCAACAGCTCATAAAAGATGAGGCCATTCTCCCCTTGATCCGGGTCCTGGGCGAACACCCGACCTATAGAGACCCCTGGGCTGTTGTTCTCAGCCACAAAAATTTCCTGTTGCGGTTCGGGAAAGCTCGGGGTGTTGTCATTCACGTCAGCCACGGACACGGTGAGTACCCTTTCTGTACTGAGCGGGGGTGAGCCCTCATCCCAGGCGGTGATGACGACCTGGTACTCGCTCCTCTGCTCCCGGTCCAGGGCCCCGTCTGTCAGCAGGCTGTAGTAGCTGCCAAAGGAAGACTTCAGCTGGAAGGGGCCCCCACTAGACATGCTGCAAGTGACCCTGCCATTGGGGCCCAAGTCCTCGTCCCCTACACTAAGAAGGGCAATCACTGTACCAGGGGTGGCGTCCTCAGGGACCTGGCTGTAGAGAGTCATGAAGTTCACCTGGGGGGTGTGATCGTTCACGTCGGTCACCTCCACCAGCAGCTTCGCTGTGCTGGCCAGACCGAAGGCGCCTTTGTCCCTCGCCTCGATGTAAGCCTCCAAGAGCGCCGCGGGGGGGCCTAGTGGGGCTGCCACTCGCACCTCCCCGCTTTTAGGGTGCACGTGAAAGCAATGCCGCAGCTCTGCACGCGTGCTGTTGCTTAAGGAGTACCACACTTCCCCGTTGGAGCCTTCGTCGGGATCTGAGGCATCAACTTGCAACAGCAGGGTCCCGTTGGGCGCCTTCTCTGCAACCTTGGTGCGGTACACAGAGTGCTCAAACACTGGAGCGTTGTCGTTTGTGTCCACCACCACGACGGTGACTTGGGCGTCTCCGGAGCGCGCAGGAAGCCCGCCATCCCGAGCCGTGAGCACCAGTAGGTGGGTGGCGCGCTGCTCACGATCCAGAGCCATCTCTAGCACCAGCTCCGGGTAGTGGCTGCCGTCGACCCGCGACCCCATGGCCAGGCGAAAGTACTGGCTTGGGCTGAGGCTGTAGCTGAGCGCCCCATTGCTACCCTCGTCCGCATCCTGGGCATTGGGGAGACTAAAGTGAGCTCCTGGCGCCAGGACCTCGGGGATGTGGAGTAGGACGTCGCCAGCGGGGAAGACAGGGGAGTTGTCATTGGTGTCCAGGACGCGAACATGCATCTTGTGCAGCTCCAGCGGATCCTCCAACAGGAGTTCATAGCTCAGGACGCACGCATCGCTCACCCCACACAGCAACTCGCGGTCCGCCGGCTCCCGCACCACCAAGCTGCCACTGGCCATGTCCACCCCAAAGTAGTGCTCACCCTGGCCGGAAAGGAGGCGAAAGTTTCTCAGGGACAAAGCAGCTGCCGACAATCCCAAGTCCGTGGCGACATTGCCCACTATCAAACCGCGCTCCGCCTCCTCCAACACTTTGTACTCGAGCTGTCCTGCAGCAGCCCCGCAGGAGACCCACAACCAGAGAACTGCCGACCCCCAGCCCGCCATCCTCCGTCTTGGCGTCCGTGCTGCACTAGCGGTGACCCGACCCCATGCTCCGCGGCGCCCGGGACGTCCCAGCCGCAGGGAAGAGAAAGCTCAGTCGGCCGCCTCCGCCGCTGTTTCGAATACTGGAATGACGCGGGGGCGAGCGGGCTGGGAGGTCCGCTAGGTTGGTCGGAGCTCGGCAGCCGTCTGGGAAACCAAAGCGGTGCGGAGGGGCGCAGCGCCGCCTAGGGGTTCCAAGTCGAGGCTTCCCCGGCTGGGGAAGCGCCGTCTCCAGTCTCGCAGGCTCGGGTGTCGCCCCGCAGCTCCGGCAGCGGCTACCGGGTGGGTCCTGGCAAGACGCACGGAGAAACTGAACTCGTTTCTCTTTCAACCGCGTTTCCTAGAACAACGCCCTGAGACCGCCACGGTCTCAACGTCCACAACCATCTACCCAAGGACTTCAGATCACCGGGACTGAGCACCGACAGTTCCTCCCTCCAACGGCTGGAGAGCCCAGCCCCAGGTCCCTGGGGTGCTCCGACCTACGGATTCACACGCCGGACTCAGCAAAGATCTCTAGGGCGGAGGCAGGGAGAGGCGGAACCATGAATGTGACCGAACACGCCTTCCACGCTTAAGGAAACAGCAACCTCCGGATCAAGCGCAACGGTGCGCCCCGTGCCGGATTTCCAGCCTCTCGCGCCCTGTTGTACCCGGGGGCCGCCCGAGTCCAACAGAGGTGACGAGAGGGCACACAAGGGGGCAGTGTCCGCCTCAAACTTTCTGCCGATCCTGGCTTTTCCAGGTCCCATGCTCTACATCCCACCCCTCTCCCTGCCCCGTTCATAGCTTCTTTCCCCCCGAAAAAAGATTTACTGGAAGCCCTTTGCAAGTAGCCCTTGACATTTCCCAAAACAAGGCATTAAAATGGCTAAGAGATATATTAAAATGCTCAAAATCACTGATCATCAAAGAAATACAAATTGAAAACTGCAGGAGACATTTCCTCACACCTACCAGAATGTGTTAGGAAGGATGTGGATGCAAAGGAACGCTCCCACACCACTACAGGAAGGTAAATCACAACAGCTTTATGGAAAACATTATGGGAGGTTTCTAACAAAATAAAATAAAATACACTTCACCTGATTCTTCCTTAGTAACAGAGTGGCTGTTCCCCACCCTCGCCCAAACACACACTTTTCTTGACTCTAGAAACACTTTTCATACATTCATGGCTACTCCTTCTATTTTGTGGCAATCACTTTTCACCAATTCTGGCTTTGGGAGGAAAAAGCACAAAGTCAAGACGGTTTCACTGATGAATACCACCAAAACCTTAAGAAAGAATACTAATACTCTGTAGTACTTTCCAGAAAAAAAGCAGAGGGAACCATTCCTAACTTATTCTCTGACGCAAGCACTGCTCCAAACATCAAAATCACTTGAAAACATTACAAGAAAAACAAGTGGGCCCAGCATGGTAGCCTAGCAGCTAAAGTCCTAGCCTTGCATGTGCTGGAATCCCATACAGGTGCTGGTTCATATCCTGGTGGCACCACTTCCTATCCAGCTCCCTGCTTGTGGCCTGAGAAAGCAGTAGAGAATGGACCAAAGCCTTGGGGTCCTGCACCCGCATGGGAGATCCTGACTTCGGAGTGACTCAGTACTGGCTGTTGCAGTCACTTGGGGAGTGAATCAACGATGGAAGATCTTCCTCTCTGTCTCTCCTCTCTGTATATCTGCCTTTCCAATAAAAAAAAATTAAATACACTAGATCTTTAAAAACAAAAAGAAAAGAAAACCAAGCAACGGACCAGATTCTCATCAAGCTTTTGGTAAGCTGAGTGATGAGCGCTTGATGTCTCTGTCCTAATCTCAGACACTGAATGAAATGCTCTGTGTGGTTAAAGAAAGAAGTTTTGTGGGTAAGATTAAAGATTTTCAGATGGATGCATTATCTTGGTTTATTGGAGTGCAACCAATACAATCACAAACGTCTTTATAACAAGAAAGCAGCAGGATCAGAGCAAGAGAATGGGTTCTGTAAGCAAGAGGTTGTAGTGATACAAGGAAGCAGTAACAAACAAGGAATGCAGGCTAATTCCAGAAGCGGAAGAATGCAATAGTAACCTAGTAGCTAAAGTCCCCTCCTTGCATGTGCCACTGGGATCCCATATGAGTGCCAGTTCATCTTCCAGTGGTCCTGTTTCCCATCCAGCTCCCTGCTTGTGGCCTAGGAAAGCAGTAGAAGATGGTCCAATGCCTTGGAACCCTGCACCCATGAAGAAGACCTGGAAGAAGCTCCTGATTCCTGGCTTCAGATTGGCGCAGCTCTGGCTGCTGTGGCCACTTGGGGAGTGAACCAGCAGACGGAAGATCTTTCTCTCTAGCTTTCCTTCTGTTTGTAAATCTCACTTTCCTATTAAAAAATAAATCTTTAAAATAATTTGTAGTTTCAAGAAAGAATGCAGCCCATTCACAGCTTGATTTTAGACTTCAGATACCCAGAGGTAGAAGAGAAAATATTCTCATTGCTCTGTGCCATTAAATTTGTAGTCATTTGTGTGGTTTGTAGCAATATGCATCAGCAGCAATGAGAAAAATTAAACAAATACAAATGCAAAACTCTTCAAGAAAATACTAGCAAATTAAATCTTTCGATGTAGTTAAAAAGCAGACATCACATTTATTTCAGGTGTGCAAGGTTAGCTTAACATCTAAAAAGCAGTCAATGTAACACAAATTAGCAGAATGAGGAGAAAAAAAATCACAGGAGCATGTCAGTTGGTGAAGACCAAGAGTCTAGCAGATATCCACGATAAGCTCTCAACCTGAAGCTAGCACTTCACCTGGTTGTTGAGACACCTACATCAGATACTAGGTTGTTGCATTTAACTTGTTCCTGTGGCTCCTGAGTCCGGCTTTCTGCCAGTACAGGCACAGGGAAGTACCAGTGATGGCTTGAGTGACTAGCTTCCTCCCATACACATAGGAGACCTGGACTGTATTCTCAGTTCTTCATTTTAGCCCTGGACCAGCAGTGGCAAGATCACAAGGGTCTCAGACATTTTACAAGTAAATCAGCAGAAAGGAACTTTGTCTTGTTCTCTCATTCTCTCATACAGTTTTTGCATTCTCAGCAATTAGGAATATAAAGGAACAATTTCAATTTAATATAGAACATCTAAAGAAATTAGAACTAACATCACATAGGTGAAAAGCTGAACAATTTCTCCTCAATATTGGGAGCAACCAAAAAATGTCCCCTCTCACTATTCCTATTCAATATTGTTCTGGAAGTCCTAAACAAAGCATTAATGGAAAGAAAGGAAAACAAAAGGTATCAGGACTACACTTAAATATTTATAGAAGTTTTACTGTAAACCACTAAAAATCACATACACACAGTGGAATATTATTCATCAGTTTAAAAAAAAAAGCCTAATGACACAAAAACAATGGGAGCATACTACTAAAGAAAAGAACAAAGTCTGGAAAAAAACCACATACTTTAAGATTCTAAATTATATTACACCCAGGAAATGCAACATTATAGACATAACTGACAATCAATTGTTGCCAAGGGTAGGTTGGAGATGTGGGAGATTGAACAGGTGAAATTGCTGTTCTGTATGAGACCTTAATGATGAACACAAAGCATCAGGAATTTGTAAAATTAACAGTACTTTATATCAGAAAGAATAAACCTTAATGCTTATCCCATCCTACAGTGATATACAGAATGTGAAAAATGAATTTAAAATACTATAAATGTGTGAAATAGCTACAGTGAAAGAGATGTGGTAATAAGATGCTGACTCTTGCAACTTTGGAAATGAGAGGCATTGGTTAGACCAAAGCCAAATGAAACTACAGAAGTAGCATACTCCAGGTTAATAAGACTGTTTCCCCAGAGATGCAGGCTAACAATTCTGAAGCCACTAAACATATATACAATAACTGAACAACTAAATTCAAAGAAGTGACAAATGGCAAGTGGAGGAGACTAGGATGATCCAGGTAACAGGTTAGAGATAGAAATATCAGATACAGTTCTAATGTTGTATCTATGTAGAGAAAAAATCAGCGGATTTTCTCTCTCTAACACTGCCTTTCAAACAAATACATCAATAATTTTTCAAAAATAATATTGCATCAATATTGGTTCATAAATTGTACCAAATGTGCCAGACAAATGCAATATGTTAATAACAGAGAAAATCACAGAGGGGTAGGAAGGAGAACTGGAGAACATATGGGAACTCTCTACACTGCCGGCTCAACGTTTTGTAAATCTATAACTTTTCTAAAAATATTAATCCATCAATTAAAATTTTTTTCAAATGTATTTTTGGGGGGGTCGAGAGAAGGGTCCAGCGCAGTAGGCTAATGGCAAAAGTTCTCACTTTGCATGCTCCAGGATCCCAAATAGGCACTGGTTCGTGTCCCAGATACTCCACTTTCCTTCCAGTTCCCTGCTTGTGGCCTAGGAAAGAATTAGACAATGGCCCAAAAACCTTCGGAACCCGTACCTGCTTGGGAGACCCAGAAAAAGCTTTCTCTGGCTTTCCTCTCTTTAAAAAAATGTTCACATGCTGTAAAAACATTCATTTTTTAATTTTTATTTATTTTTATTAGAAAGGCAGATTTACAGACAGAAAGAGATGCAGAAAGATCTTCCATCTGCTGCTTTACTGCCCCAAAGTGACCGTAACAGCCAGAGATGAGCTAACCCAAAGCCAGGAGCCAGGAACCTCCTCCAGGTCTCCCTTGTGGGTTCAGGGTCCCAAGGCTTTGGGCCATCCTCCACTGCCTTCCCAGTTCACAAGCGGGGAGCTGGATGGGAAGCGGGACAGCTGGGACACGAACTCGCACCCATATGGGATCCTGGCACATGCAAGGTGAGTATCTAGCCACTAGACTATCACACCAGGCCTCCAATTAAAAAATTTTACAGCAACTACATACAAAGATCTGCATATGCATGATCACAGAAGTCTGTTCAAGGAAGCCAAAAACAAAACAACCAAAAAGGCCATCGACAGGTAAATGAATTACATCTATACAACGGAGTACTTCTCAAAAAAAAGTAATGTACTATTGACATATGTGATTCAGAAGAAACTTAAGATAGCAGTGCTGAGTGGAAAAATCAAACAAAAAAAATAAAATTTTGGTAAATGAACACTTGATAGTGACAGAAAGTAGGTCAGTGCTTGCCTGGGGACAGGATGTTGGGAAATGACGTGGGACAAGATGGGTGGACTACCAAGAGGCATAAGGAAATCCTGGTGAAGAATATGTTCACAACCTTTGTAAAGATGGTATCACCAGTGCACATACCCAAACTTACTAAACTTGAAATTTGTTTAGTATAGAAACATGATACAAGGCAATATAAAAATTGCAAAGGAAAGAAAACTACTATTATTTGATGACGATATAACTTCACACCTAAAACTTAGATCATTAACTGAAAAGCTGAGTGCTAAGTCAACATCTGCCTAAATGCAAAATTCCTCTGGTTAGAAAATGCACAATAAAATCTTTTAATAAATCAACAAAAGAAGCATACGTACAAAACTTAAAGCAAAGAGGAATTAAAATACACATTTCTACATGTAAAGACAGTGTCTGCTATTAACTAATGTGTTAATATTATACAGGCACCACTTTTGTCTAAAATAATCTTTAAAAAATGAGGTGAGATCCAAATCTATGCATCAATGTATAATTTTTAACCTAGAAAAGTTGATACTCAATATTATATTTAAAATATACACACACTCAGCTATAGAACTTTTGAAAAAAAAAAGAGTAATGAGGTAACCAGCCCTACTATCTATAATTATTACAGTAGTTAAAATATTGGTAGTGAATGCATGAATACATGCAGGGCTCAATGGAAGAGAACAGGGCTAAAAATTTATTCAAGGATATATGAAAAAATTATAGTAGCAGTAGAACATATAACAAAAATAGTATTTTTTCAGTCAATATGTGGCAAAGTCAAAACTAACTGCATTTCCCATTTACTTCACATCAAAATAAGTTCCAAAAAAGGAGTAGGCATCTGACATAGTAGTTACGATGCTGGTTAGGATTTCATATCCTGTTATCGAAGTGCCTGCTTTATGATACCAGCTCTGCTTCCAGCATAGCTTCCTGCTGATGCACACTCTGAAGGCAATATGTGATGACTCAAGTACTTGGGTCCCTGCCACCCACATGGAAGATCTGGGATGAATTCTAGGCTCTTGCCTTTGCCCTGATCTAAG